CACACAACAACAACACACACACACACACACACACACACACACACACACACACACACACACACACACACACACACACACACACACACACACACACACACACAGCGCGACCGCCTCACCTCCCACTGACGCGGAACGAGGAGAAGCACGTAGTACAGCGGATACAGCCAAGGCAGCCAACTGCCCGTCAGCAGCCACCCAGGCAGCGCAAGCGCAACGCTTTGCAGGATCTCCCCAAGATAGTTGATGTGGCGCGCAAGGCCCCAAAACCCAGAGTACAGGATTCGCGTGTCGCTGATGGTGTGGGGCTGGATGACACCGAGGAACGGCTGCTGTGGGTCCACTTTGAACGTGTACTTCTGCAGGTTGGCGCCACGCGTCAACACCCATCCAAAGAAGAACAGAGCCACAACGCCAGCCGCTTGCAGCACCGACAAGTCTGCGTCTGCAGTGGGCGGCGTGATGAGGGGCCACACGCCAATGGGGTAGAAGAGCGGATACAAGGCCCAGCACCCCCACACGAGCTTGAATCCCAGCCGCTCCGCAAACAGGTCGTACGTGTACAGGTGCACATGCTCAAAGTACAGGTACTCGGCAACAAACCAAGAGAACAGGCCTACGTATGCGGCCATGGCCACTTGCACATGGCCGTCCCCGGTTGCGCGCATGTGCGCGGAGGTTGCGCTGAGCAGCACCAGCTCCAGCAGCACGGCGCCGTACACGTACGAGTACATCTTCCAGTCAAGGCCAAACGTGCGTGGATTGAACTGCACGCCCGAGAAGAAGTCGGTCAGGACCTTGGCGAGGCCGTGCTGGCCCTCTGGTGCCGTGTCAGTGCCAGTGCCAGTGCCAGTGCCAGCGCCAGTGCCAGTGGCCGTGTGTCGCGACGTGATGGGCGAGGACGGGTGACCGTGGGACCGCGAAGAGGACCCAGGTGTCGCGCCACGTGGCTTGAACTGGTCGACGGTGAAGGTGCGGCGGCGGTGGCTTTCCCTCTCTTGTGGTGAGAGCTGGAGGCCAAGCACCAGCGCCAGCACCGATGCAAGAAGCCCCAGCACGTTGGAAGCAACAGCGACGCTCCAGAACTCGTCCACGAAGAAAGCTGGCGACACAAGGCCCAGTCGGGCAGCCAGCAGGAACGATGCGACGACGATCACCAGCACACGCAGCCCGTTGAGCTTGTACATGAAAGGCTTTCCATCCCGGTCACACACATACCCTGGCGTCTCCTTGCACGGCAACCCCACATACAGCGCAGCACACACCACATGCAGTACAAGCACTGCCACCCAGCCTTCCATCATCTTCGTGTGTGCTATTTGTTTGTGTTTGTGTGACTGTTGGCGATTTGTGAATGTTTTTCATGGATAATCGACACGAAATTGAAATTTCCGGTTCCTGCACAGCAACGGCACCAAACAAACACACCACCCACGACAACGACAAGACCTTGTTCCTCTGACCTTTCGGCGCACGACGCAAACCACACGCGCACAAGGCCTTCTTCTTGACAGGGAACCAACCACAACAGACACTATGGCGTTTACTCAGCGTGGCGAGTCTACCCTCAAGCGCGATGCAAAACTCAAAGCAGACCAAGCAACGGTGTGTGTGTATGTCTGTCTGTGTGTATGTGTGTGTGTGTCTGTCTGTTTGTCTGTCTGTCTGTGTCTGTGTGTCTGTCTGTGTGTCTGTGTGTCTGCCTGCTTGCCTGTCTGCCTGTCTGTGTGTATGTGTGTGTGTGTCTATCTGTCTGTTTCTGTGCGTCTGTCTGTGTGTCTGTCTGTGTGTCTGTGTGTCTGTCTGCCTGCCTGCCTTTTTGTGTGTCTGTGTGTCTGTCTTCTCAGCTCTGCAGCACGATGCGCTGCCAAGCTAACATCACGCACGCACGTGCTGCCATGCCCTTTCAAGGATCCCATTGAGAAGCTGAGGTACCGGTGTTTGGAGCGTGGTGCCGGTGGCATCTCGGGGCTTGGCCGCATCTTCCGCATCATGGACGACAACGGCAACAAGAAGCTCGACTTTGACGAGTTCAAGAAAGGCCTCCACGATTTCGGTGTGCACCTCGACGACGAGGAGGTATGCTTTGGTTGTGTATTGACATTTTGTGGGCGCCTGTGCGATATGCGTGATGTATGTGTGCATGTGTGTGTGCGATATGTGTGATGTATGTGTGTGTGAGAGAGAGAGTGTGTGTGTGTGTGTTCGCGCGCGCTCCGAACCACGTCTTCTCCACCTGACTGCTTCCACCTGTGCCATGCATCTGTCCTGCTTCCTCCATCTGCTGATGTGCCCACAACAGGAATACCATGATTGCTTCGACCGGTTTGATGCCAACGGCGATGGGAACGTGGATTTTGAGGAGTTTCTTCAAGCGCTCAGAGTACGACATAACGTAACCGTATATTTTCGTGCATGTGTGCGCAGCCGCGTCGCTGACGCGTGTGCCAGCTACATGACAACACCACCATCATCAGCACCAGCACCCCCGCCGTGAGCGCCAGCTTCCTCAGCGAATATGTGCAGTACTTGCAGTGCGCTTCTCACTCGTTCGCGATGTGCCATGTGCATGCATGCCTTGTTTGTTGCTGCAGCCACCAATGTCCTCCCGACGAAAGAAGTTAATTCGGCAGGCATTTTCCTTGTTTGACAAGAACAACGATGGCAACATCACAGCTGAGGACTTGGAACAGTGCGTGCACCTGCACTTGCACGTGTGGCTGCGCTTGTCTGTGCTTGGCTACGTACCACCACAACTGCCCCCCTTTTCCGTTGACACACTTGGCAGCTCAAGTCGCTTCTTCTGCTATCTCATTTTGCTGCCGTGTGCACCCTTCTCCTTTTGTCGCCCCATACCAAGCGACTACAGCAATGCCCTGCTCACCTTGTCACCCACCCACACTCACCTACACTCACCTACACTCACCTACACTCACCTACACTCACCTACACTCACCTCCACACACTTGCCCTCTTTGCATTGTTCGCCATTGCAGGGTGTACCGTGTGGACAACCATCCCAAGTACATGAATGGCGAGTGGACAAAGGAGCAGTGCCTGAATGAGTTTCTCAAAACATTTGAGCAGAAGGGCGTGGTGGATGGGGTGGTCACATATGAGGAGTTTCTCAACTACTACGCAGGCGTCAGTGCGTCCGTCGACGACGACGCCTACTTTGACCTGATGATGCGGCAGGCGTGGAAGTTCTAGTTGTGCTCTGCGTCATCGCCACTGCCTGCTCTCAGTCATAAATGGTGCTGTGTGTATGTGTGTCTGTCTGTGTGTGTATCGGTGTGTGTACGCGTGTGTTCGACTGCCTTCCTTACGACGTTTGCTTCCACGGCTTGTTACGGTGTATGCATGCACCTTATCATACTGTTCTTGGTTCCCATAGCCTGCTTTGACGGCTTCTGTTACCTGCCATATCCACGCCGTTGCCTTCCTTTGTTGCCTTCTTTCCTCCAGAAGAGTAGAAGATTCACAAGCCACATGTCTGTATGTGTGTGTGTGGGGGGGGGGGGTGTATGTGTGTGTGTGGGTGTGGGTGTGAACTGGATGACAACGCCACCATCGCCAAAGAGGAGCGAATTATTTTTCTGTTCACTGGCAACGCCGGCAACTACGCAAGACCGAACGATGGTGGTGGTGATGCCGAAGAGATCCTCCCTCGCTGGTGTGCTCTTGGCATGCTTGGTGCTGGGCTGCTCGCTGCAAGGCAGCAGCGGCACCAAGTACACGGACGCAGACATCAAGCGAGCATACAATGACGGCTATGCAGACGGCATGCAGTCAGGTGTGTGCTTGGAGGAGGAGGAGGAGGAGGGGAGGGATGGTTGTGCTGGTGCTGTGAAGGACATCATCGCTTGATGTTATGCAGAGCAGTTGATGTACTTGGACTTGGATCATGCGTGCTGCCCCACTGCTTGCAGCTGCTCACATGAATACCTGTGTTGTGTGTGTGTGTGTGTGTGTGTGTGTGTGTGTGTGTGTGTGTGTCTGTGTGTCTGTGTGTGTCTGTGTGTGTGTGTGTCTGCGTGCATGTGTGTCTGTCTGTCTGTGTGTGTGTGTCTGTCTGTGTGTGTGTGTCTGTCTGTTTGCTCCTGCCCACCTCTCTCTCCCCCTCTGTCTCACTTGATTACGATCTCTGGCTGGTCGACAGTGCTGCGGAACTATGGTGCCAGCCTGGACATCGACAAAGGATCCTCGATTGATGTGGAGATTGAGGATCAACAGGGCAGAGAGCCCGGCACAACAGGTGCTGGTGCCAGCTGCAGCGCCTTGCGTGATGGCCTCTCTGCCTATGGCATGGATAACAGCGACGAGGAGCCCCAAGTCTCAGTCACCTCCGACGCCACCCAGCTCGGTCGCTTTACGTACGTGCATGTGTGTGTGTGTGTGTGTGTGCATGTGTATGGACATCACATGGCACACACACACACACACACACACACACACACACACACACACACACACACACACACACACACACACACACATATACTGTGTGTCTTTCTCTCTCCAATGCGCAGACACGGCCGTCTCTGTCGCCCCCCTCCCTCCATCTCTGCAGACCGCTTGCTTTAACTCACTGTACGGCCTCCAACTCACAGACTCCTATGGCCGACCACAATCTACACCGCCGAGTTTGACTTGGACAAAGCCGACGTGCTCCCTGCCGTGTTGGGTGCAGTCCACACACACCACAAGGTACGCAAATGTGTGTGTGTGTGCATGTATGTGCGTGTATGTATGTGTGCGTGCGAGTATGCGTCCAATCCTTGTTCCGGCCTTGAATGTGTTCACTGCGCACACTCACTCCGATGCCCCACTCCCAATTCCACGCCTACCACCCACACAATCCCATGTACACCACGTCTAATCGCATGATGCATACACAGGCGGACGCTTCTTCTTCTGACACGGATGATAATGACGATGATAATGACGATGAGGACGTGATCCGCGGGTGGGTCAGCGATGAGATGTTGGAGTGGCGTGATGACACCGTTCGCGCGTTGGAAGCAGCCGTCCTTTCCCACTTCAAGGCCGTGCTCGAAGCCGATAACCCAGGCTCGACTACCAGCAACCGCGTCAACGTGCTGCTGCAAATGTGGTCGACGGTGCTTGAGGACGGCGGGTTTGAGCTTCCTGTACAGCACGCGGGCGACTTTGGTGCACACTGGACAGGCAAGCTGGTCCTCGACGCAAGGTGCCCGCCCATGGTGTCTGAATGTGGACCTGTGTGTGCGTGTGTGTGTGTGTGTGTGTGTGTGTGTCTGTGTGTCTACGTGTGTGTGTGTGTCTGCGTCTGTGTGTCTGTGTGTCTGTGTGTCTGTGTCCGTGTCTGTGTCCGTGTCTGTGTCTGCTGCCTGTTCACCTTCACGCACCACCGAAACATTCGCGCGCCCTCCGCATCACGAACACTCACAACCGCACACACGCACACACGCACACGCATACACTCACCGTCGGTGCAGCACCACACTGGTCCTGATGTCCAAGGACGCGAGCCCTGCGCAGGGGTGGAAGTCATCGCAGCACCGTGTCGCCCTCTCGTCTGGCGACATTGCCATCTTCCCGGCCGATATTGTTCACTTCACCCTCCCTGCTCCCCCTGCAGGCCTCACATCAATCACCTTCAACATCAAGGTGCGTGGTTGTGTGTGTGTGTGTGTGTGTGTGTGTGTGTGTGTGTGTGTGTGTGTGTGTGTTCGACTGTCTCCAGGTCTCTGTCTGTCTTTCTTTATGTGTGTGTGTGTGTGCACGCATGGTTCTGCTCGTCATTCCCGATTCGGCGTCTGTGTCTCTGTTGTGCCATGTAGCATTTCGCCACCCCTCCTCAACCCGCTTACTCACGTCACCACCATCGTCACGGCCTTGACCATGACCATCACCACCACCACCACCACCAACAGGTCATCAGCGAATCTCCCGACGCCGGCAGCCCAGGCGTGTTCTGTGCAAACTGCATCAAGAGCGTGCTAGTGTAACGTGCGCCCTTCAATACTCACACATTCCCCCGTTCTCTTTGCGCTCACTCAAATTACACCACCCGCGTTGAGGTGGAGGTTCACCGTGCACAATCAGTAAACACACAGTCTTTGCTGTGCATGCATGTTGCGATGACAATCGATGGGGATTGTGACACACACACACACACACACACACACACACACACACACACACACACACACACACACACACACACACACACAATGAGGATGGCTCGCTGTCGTTGGTGTCGGTTTAATACTTAGATAGAGAGAGAGAGAGAGGACACGATCACTGCCACCCCTCGCGTGGAAGGAAAAGGCGCGGTACGCCTGGTTGCTGGCTTTTGGGTGATTGACCCAAGAACTGCCATATCCTTGTGCGTATGGTTGTGCGCAAATGTTGCATGAACACAAGCAAGCAATGAAATCAATGTACACAATCTGATGTTCCCAAATGAAAGAGCTATGACCAGCAAAGCTAACGGCTATTCGAGCACCACACACACACATGCACACACACACACATGCAGACATGCACCGCACAAACACACACATTCAGCACTTCTCCTCGTCATTGCAACCACCACCGCCTCACATCTCCCATTCACACCTCGAAAATATTCGCCTTTCACTCTGCACAACACCATAAAAAAACGCCATACGCCTCAATCAAACGCGTGCTCCCACATCTGTAATCGATCACATACACTCCCGCGTCGAATCACACGCGCCTGCATCTCCCTCGCATCATCATCACCACCACCATCACCGTGTTCACCATGCACATTGCCATCATCACCACCACCGCGCTTGCTGTGTGACGCGGCACCGTCCGAACGTTGTGGCTGCAGATGCTGCTGCGGCTGCAGATGCTGTTGCTGCTGAGATGGTGTGGGCGAGGGTGAAGGTGGTGCCTGAATGTGCAATTCAGAGTGCTTCTGCCTTCGTCGCCTCAGCTCGACCAACCACGACGGCTCTTCGTGTGCACTTCCGCGCGCATCGCCACTGCTGTTACTGTTACTGTTGCTGCCGTCATGGTGCTGTGGGCGTGCCCGCTCTGCAAATTGGAGCGACAGATAAAAGGGGGTAGGCAGCAGGCGAAGGTGTGAGTGAAACGTGTTTGGTTGAAGAGGAACGAAACATGACACGCAGATGCGCACATGTACACAGCCTCAATCAAACAAACACACTCACACTCACACGCTCACTCACTCACACTCACTGAAAAAGCAATACACACCTGGTGTTCCGCCCGTGATTGTGGCCGAGCGGTTTCTTCGTCGCTCCATCAACTCTTGCTTCCACAATGGCATCGAAGCAACATTGACATCAATACCATGTTGCTGTTGCTGTGGTTGTTGTTGTTGCTGTGGTTGTTGTTGTTGTTGTTGTTGTCGTTGTTGTTGTTGTTGTTGTTGTTGTTGTTGTTGTTGTTGTTGTTGTTGTTGTTGTTGTTGTTGTCGTTGTTGTTGTTGTTGTTGTTGTTGTTGTTGTTGTTGTTGTTGTTGTTGTTGTTGTTGTTGTTGTTGTTGTTGTGGCTGCTGTGCGCTCCTCGCTGCCCCCTGTCTCTCCGCTGCGTTTGCGCGATTAAGCTGCCCACCACCACCAGCGCCAACACGCAGCTCTCCCTCCTCATCGCAGATATGCAGCCGCTTGGCCAACACATCTGCCAACTCGCTGTCAGCCCCTGTCTTCCCCTTGCGTGCGCCATCCACATCACGCCGCTGAAGTGACGACGACAATGTGAGGCTCCTTTCTGTGTGTTCAGCAACTGCACGACCACGCTCCAAAGCACCATCATCATCACCGCCACTACCGTCGCCGCTGCTGCTGCCAGTCCGCACCAGCTTGTCTGTTCCTGTTGTCGTTGTTGTTGTTGTTTCTTGTGCTGCTGTTGCTGTTTCTTGTGCTGCTGTTGCTGGTGTTGTTCGTGGTGGTGGTGGTGGTGGTGACGTGTGTGCTGCATCGCTTGTCTCTGCTGCTGCGGTCGACAATGCGACAGTTGTGGTGGCTGGCGCTGTGGGGGACACACTGCCACTGTACGTGACGCTCTGCACATCCACGTGTCCAACAAGCGCCGGCGAATGCACGTCCCTCAGCGGGGTGTGAATGTCGTGCGTGAGCAGCGAGTACGTGAGATGCGTGCTGTCAACGGCATCTGGGATGTGTGACGACCGCTGCTGGCAAACGGCCACCGCCGCCTCCTTCAGCACGTGGTGACGGCACGCCAGCGCGCGGTGGATTGGCAGCCACCGAAACTTGAGCGACGTACCGCCCCATTGCAGTGTGAACGTTGGCGGAAACACGTTGAGCACGCTGCCGTTCCCGTGCGCGTTCAGCACCGTTGTCTCCACCCACGCGTTGTCCGTATTTCGCTCATCGTCGCCAACAACACCTGTGCGTTTGCAAAGGGGATGGTGCGTGTGTGTGTGTGTGTGTGTGTGTGTGTGTGTGTGTGTGTGTGTGTGTGTGTGTGTGTGTGTGTGTGTGTGTGTGTGTGTGTGTGTGTGTGTGTGTGTGTGTGTGTGTGTGACGGGGGTGTAAGACGGGAGGAAAAAAAACACACACACACACACATTCGCCAATGCATGTGTGTGTGTGTGAGGTCAACAAGAAGCAGCAGCCAAAGCAAGTACACAACAAGCAACAGGGCGCACTAGCACGTGTTGTAGCAGGAGCGAAGTGGCTGCTTGGCGCCAAGGGTCGACTCCAGCTGACGCGAGAGCTCGGCTGTATCGATGCGAAGAGCACACACAACACACACACACACACATGCACACATGCACACACATGCACACACATGCACACACACGCACCACGCACCTTTGGCAACTGTTGCCTTCTTCCCTTTGCTGCTGCTGCTATCGGCAGCCCGTCGCTTCCTCTTCTCCTCCTCATCGTGGTCCTTGGGCGACAGCACCACATCCGCGAACAAGTCGTCACTGTCCTCCTCCATCTTTCTCGTTGTTGTGGTTTTGTTGTTGCTGGGATTTGTGTGCGTTGTTGGCGTGAGAGGGTTTATTGATGCTCTGCTACAGAGCAGCTTGCAAGCACCTCAGCACTCTTCCCACTTCCCCACTCCCCAGCACCCCGTTCATCCTATCCTTTCACCCTCACCATCACCATCACTCCTTCACCATCACTCACTCGCACCTTCCTCTTCCCACCTTCAGGCACAAGACATCAAGCAAACAAGCCATCAGCCCCCATCTCCCGCTTCCACCCCCCCCCCCTCACCCATCCACCAGTACACAAACGCACCCTCCCCTCTCACAGCACACATCAGGATCAAGGGATCAGGGCAGGAAGCGACGAGCGAGTTTGTACTGCCTGCCGCGCTGACTGCGCCCGCTGCTGGCCCGCCCGGGAAACGGAAACGCCGCAGCATCTTCCTCCTCGCCATCACCCTCAGCATCCTCGTCATCACCCCTGCTGGTGCGGCTCCTTCCCCTCCTCCCCCTCCTCGTCCGGCTGCTGCCCTGTGCAGCGGAACTGCGTCGTCGCCTCCTGTTGCCGTTGCCCCCGAATGCACCAGCACCACGATGCTGGTGGTGTGGCTGGCCCAATGCAAGCGCAGGCGCAGAAGGCCCGCCCGTTGTGGAGGTGGTGCCGGCTGCAGAGCACAGTCGCAGCTTCGCTCGCTGCTGCTGCGACAAGAGCGGTGGCACGTTGCTTGTGATGATGACGTTTGCAACGTTGCGCGGGCGGTTGCATAGCTGCGCCAACACCTCCTGCCTCAAGCGGTGGTAGCGCATAAGCGCCTCTTCCCGCTGGGCCCTGCCCTGCTGGCCATCCTCGCACGGCGGGGCAGCTGTAACCACGTCGTTGGCCGCGTGTGTCCCCCATCTGGTTCGCTCGCTCGCACATGCAGTCACTGAGGACGTTGAGAAGGAAGCAGACAACGACGACGACGATGATGACGATGACGAAAGCCGTGGTGGACTCACGGCCGCTGCCATTGCTGGTGCTGTTGCCGCAGGGGCTGCGTGGGTGGGAAAAACCGTCGAGGGCTGCGTGCTTGAGTTTGGTGAAGTAGATGGCAGGGGTGGTGTTGGCGTCGTGGCGGTGGAGATGGGCCCCAGCCTCTGCTGTTGTTGGCGGCGCGGGACTTGCGCAGGTCGCAGGACTTGCGCAGGTCGCGGCACCAGCAGCGGTGGCGGCAGGGTTTCGTCGCATCGCAGGTGGGGCAGGGGCTTGGCGAGCGTCCGGGTTGGTTTGCACGCGCCCTGCTGCGCAATCTTCTCCAAGGTGGCTGTGAGCCAGTGGGAGCCATCGCCCTCGTTGTCGGGCCCAGCAGCAAGGAGGTGGTCGAGAGCGGCGCTGGCGTGCACGATGGGGCTTGAGATGGCACGCGGCCGTGGGAAAGGCGTCGGGAGCAGGCCAAGCTCTTGCAACACGTCCATGTCATCCAGAGGGCCGTCACCAAGCGTGGGGCCGTCGCCCAAGCTGGGTGTGGTGGAAGCAGAAGAGGATGATGATGATGACGACGACGACGACAAGGAAGAGGTAGACTCGCGCCGGCGCTCGTCGAGCTGGTCTTGGAGAGGAGACGGGTACTTAGTGCATGCCAAGTCGAGGAAAGGGCTGGACAGGTCGAAGGCATCCTCACAGAAAATGTCGTGGAAGGTGTCCAAGCCCAAAAGAGGATTGTGATGTTGGTCTTCTGTGAAGTGCGGGTCTTGCATCTGGTGGAACGCAGCGTCCTGCATAAGAGTATGTGTTGCAATGCATGCCAAAAGCAGAGGAGATAGTGAATGTGTGCGAGGGAGTGAATCAGTGGGATAGCGTGCGCGCTGGAGCGAGGGGACAGCGTATGTGCAAAAAAAAAGGAAGAAGACAAGCGGCATGGAGGCGCGAAGAGCATTCCACATATGCGCGCATGCACACACAAGAGAACAGCGCAAGACCTTTTGTTTGGTGGTGAGGGCATCATGTCAACGCAGGCGAACAAACGACCAAACACGATGGCCAAACCGCTCGCTCACCATGCTCATGGGATTTGCCATTGGCTCACAAGAAGCGAAATCGCTGCTGGTTGGCCTGTGGCAAGTAACAGAAGCATGCATGCATGCGTAAAGGAGGACATGTGGAGCGTGCGATGCGCGAGTGAAACCGCAGCATGCATGCGTAAAGGAGGACATGTGGAGCGTGCGCGTGCCGCATGGGAATTTGCCGACAACACGCGCACATGCAGATGAGAAGAGAAGAACGTCGTCGTGTGGCGCGCGCGCGCACCGTAAAGAACTGACCACAATGAATCCATGGTGGACGTGGTCGGGTGCTGTGAGTTAGTGAGTGCTGGGAGCGGGCGGGAGATTGTTGAAGACGGGCGAGCCTGTGCCAGAGGCGAGTGGAAGGGGACGAACCGGTGTGCAGCTAATCAGGAGGGCGATAACACAAGGTCAGTGAACAAGTCGCGCACGAGGGGAGACGCTCAGCTGGGGAAGACGAAGGAAAGGAAAATGACCACGCGCACGCACACACACACACGTACACGCATGCACAACAAACAAAAAAGGGTGTAGAGCTCACGCACAGCACTCTAGCACTCTCGCGTGGTACCATTCACCCACCAACGTGGCGCGCACACACGCACTAGCAGTGTTGTGTTTGCTTGTTTTGGGGACTGGGGCAGAGAACAATCAAGATGCATTGTACGGGTGTGACGGTAGCACACCGAGCACACGACAAGAGCTCAGCGATGACGTGATGGCGCGATGGTCTCGCGTCATTTTCAAAGTTCAATGGGGTTGGGCAGCTTGTTCACGATGCAACAGCGCACGTCTCCCCTTTGCTTGCAGGCAGCAAGTCCTGCTCGAGGAGCAGGGTGCCCCAACCAGAGAGAGAGGGCACTGAACATGTTGAACGGCAAGGAATGCGGAAAATGACGTGCTCTCAACCGCAATGATTGCAAGATGAAGTTAGAAGAATGAGGGAGGGAGGTGGCAGGCAGGGCGAAATGGAGTGGGCAGGGCGCCTGAGAGCACGCTTCTTGCTCGTCAACAGGTGAAGAAGACATCATCTCTCATGGCTTGCTTGGATGACGCGATATATGGCGTCACCGCCGTGCCACTACCGCTTTTCCTGTCGACAGAAGAGAAAAAATTGCCGCCAATTTTGAATGTGTGTTTGTTGTGTCAGTTTGGGTGCAGTGTGTTGTGGTGGACTGGATCGAGCACCTTAGCACGTGAGCACGACCTTAGCATGTGCCCGCGTCCACGCGTTCAGGGAGAGCCAGAGTGCTCGAACGTATCAAGCACTTTATACCCACACACACACACACACACACGCACACACACACACGCACGCGCGCACACACACAGCACACACGCATGCGTATGAAAAGAAGAGAGCCTGCAAAAAAGAAAACCACAGGGGCAGGGTGGACTCGAACCACCGACCAATCGGACTGCAGCCGATCGCTATAGCCACTAAGCCACTACCCCGGGCGCAAATGACGTCATGCTTCAAAGAGGAAACCCGAATCGTATGAAGCGCTGCTGACTTTCGCGTGCGTTTCTTCATGAAGGACGCAAGAAGCATGCAAGTCTTTCGTCACGTTTCCTCAACGGTGCCGCGCGATTCAAAGACACGTTCAGTATGCACTATCTTGAACAATTTCACTGATGTGACGTGACGCGAAGTGACCTTGTTCACCTTGATCCTAGCCGTACAACGCCCAGACAAAACACAAGCAACACAAGCAACACGCGCAACACAAACAACACGCGCAAGACGAAGGGGTTA